GTCTTGTCGCCCTAAACAAAAATGAAAATCCTTAAACTTCAGTATGGTCCCAAAATACTCTCCTAGTTAAGAAAAATGTAATGTTGTTATAATAAAGAAAATAAAGTTAGAGTTGCTGTCCCACTGTTGGGCATAGGCTTCCCCTCATTATTGACAGGATTATAGAGCTAGTAGTATGTCACGCTACTCCAATACTTGTTGACGGACTTTGTCCTCGACATATTCTATTCCTCAGACAAAAGCAGCACTCACGACGTTTTCTTTCACCGCCGAGCATGTGGTAAGTCGGCACACAACATTTCAATTAACAATGTTATTGGCACTGTTAAATTGACAGTGAGCACTTAGCTAAAGCTACCACGGCTCGAAAAATAATATACATAGTTAAATAAAAAATACAATATTTACGTAAGGCAAAATTAACTGTAAGGTTATTAAAATAATTATTATAGCACAAGGAAATGTTCCGATTTTCATACTTTATTTAAGACGACAAATACAACACAATAGCAACCCTGCTGATTACACCGACTCATATCTTTACAAAGGCGTGCAATTTTGAACTCTATGGCCAAAGCCGCTTGTCTTATTTCGCTCTATGCCTGTCTCAAGACGTCTCTGGTAACTCGCGTTATAGCCTGGATGTAACCAGCAGCGTCGTGTTACTATGTAGTCGGTATAACATCACGCTGTACTCGGTAGCGAGCAGGCGGGTAGGCAGTCTCTGTAGAGGCTAACACGCGCAGCCGCTGTCCGGCTCCTTGCTGTCGCCCGGCGCCTGGCGAAGTATCACCTCATGCACTACGCACCATTAAGGAACATACAGGCTCTAGTATAAGTGGTGAAGAACGATAGAAGGGAAAGATGGGGGGGTTGCATTTACACTGTCTATGGTTACAAGAAATTGTTTAATTGATAGAAAGAATTTAATTGATAGAATCAGGCGTTACTTTGCGGATTGTGAATTTAATTAAACAAAAAAGGTAAACCCCCTATGTTTGTATGCCCAAAAATTAAGGTCTAGTGAAAAACTATTATAATCATATTGATATACTTAACATATTTCTTATTATCATTAAAAAAATGTTGTTTTATTTTTATTATTTTCAATTTAATTTGAATCTTATTAACCTCAAAACAGTCCCAAGCAAATTTAAATCGCAACGATAATTATTATATAATTATTTATAAAGATTTATTGTCATAAAATATAACATGATTTTCAGTAATAACTTTAATTTTCAAAAATTAAAAAAACACATTACGTATTAACATATTATGAATATAAATTTATCATATTACACATTTTTTTAACCATAGACAGCGGAATGAAAAAGAAATAAAAAGTTTCAAATGATATTTAAGCTACAATAAACCTTAAATACAGTATTTAGAATTTAATTTAACATATACACCTACACAGTATCGGTACTAAAGATAATTTATAGAGCATGCTAAAGAAAAGAAAATAAGAGCTGATTTCCACAAAGAAGCATAGCTATTCTACAATAAATTAAAAAGGTAAAATATTAATTTAAATAAATATGTGGAAAGAATAGCGCTGTGTGTGAAATAAAAGATGAAAATGATGTCATTGTAAATAAAATATATAAATAATAATTATTACGTAACTACTACATTTAATTTAAACCAGCAATGCAAATAACTGACAAAATAGATAGAAATAAGGGCAATGTAAAAATCAACAATGTACGGAAAGACATGAAAACATTAGTAATGTTAAATTTACTTACAACACAGATGTTAAACACGTTAATACCACCACCGACACACAAACGTAGCCCGGGGATGTCACTAGCACGTAGGGATTTTATACGGGGCAGTTAAAAAACCTGTGTGAGATTAGCTACGAAATTTACTCATTATTGAGCAGTATTCAACTTTATTACAAAGGCACAGCGTTCAAACATAAAGATCAAAGAGGAAAATATGTTGACACTTTAACTAACTATAGAGGTATTTAAAAAAAGTAGCCTAATACTTTGTGATGTAGACAGACTTTCTCAAATTTTTGTATGAGTAAGAGCAGGGAAGAATTAGCCCTGTTGCTTGAATGCATGACTCCACAGGTCTTCGAAATATTTTTTACTTCTCAGCCTTACAGGTTATCTCATCACGTTTTTCTTCATTCCAAACACGCGGTAAATCAGATCTTAAAACTGCAATTACAAACTGTTTGGTGGTATCCAAATCCTCGTGTATGATGTTTGATAGAGAGCACTGAAGCTATTACATACACATACAAGTATATATGAATATTGTATTATTAATTAAAAAATTATGTGATACTCTAACCGTAATTCTCGGTTAAGTTACCCTCTTTTTAACAACTAAGTTATAATGAAGTTTTAGGTTTTGACATCAACCGAACTACCCAAATGATAATTCGCTTAGATACTGTCGCCTGTGACGCGCCGTCTTGGCACGTGCGATATCATGTCAAAGGCGCCGCCGCGACATCAAAGGCCGCCGCGTGCGGAGTACACCAGCAGGTTAAATTAACATTTTAAAATGAAGCGTCGTAGTGAAAGGTACTTTGCTAACTAGCTTGTGTTTATTATTTGTATTCGTATTTTATTACAATAACCATAAAAGTAAAATAGTATTATTTTTTATTCTTAGAATAAAAAAAACATTCATTTAACAAATACAGTAAAGAAATAATAAAATAAAAGCAAAATAATAAGTGCGCCTCCGGGTGTACCGACACTATTTTAGCGAACAGATTATACACATTAGTTTATAACACATTAGCTAATCTCACACAAGTAACAGTAAAAAATAACCGTTTTAATAAGTCGCTTGCCGCACTCCGCCATCGTCCATTAGCCGATATTTCGTACACAATATAGCGAGACGAAATTCAATACAAATAAACCAAATTACGTATATAAGTGTCCAATACTGTGCGTGTATGCGAGCGTGATGTATAGGAGCATGTATGAATACTATATTGCTTGTAAAACTTTAACTATACTTAAACACTTGTAAAAAAGGATACTGTCTTCGGGTGGCTTGTTCTCGGCTGAGTCCATACCGGGAAGGGCAGCCGCCACTCGTCGGAACAGCTGGAATTTACGGCATTGGAAATAATCATTAAATTAAATAATTTTCATATATACATCCATAATACAAAAAAATAAAATAGAAGTGTTCCCTGTAATATCTAACTGAAGTTCAGGGGGTGAATGAAAAACTATTTTTAAAATGTTTCTGTCTGTCTGTCTGTCTGGGCTCGTTCGCTTCGGTACGGCTAAATCGATGGTCATGAATCTTATAGATATTATTTTTGTTATCTATCGGCTTAGAATTTTATTGTAAGGATGTATCGGGTATCGATACCGATATATGGGCAATACTTTGCGTATGCTAATATATCGACATCGGCGATATACTTAGTGCCGATACGATATCTTTCAAATTCATGGTCCCCCAATATCTATATCGGGAGACGCACATCGGCTTGTTTTCTTGATGACATATTATATTCAAACTTTTAAAAAATAGCGCAGAAGTAGTCTAATTTCCAAATGAGTACTGTCGCATCAGACTATTATCTATAGCCGCCCTCATTCAGACTTTCAAAATCATCTTTTCCCCCGAAAATTTGAGAATATACTTTGTTTGTTAAACAAAGATCTTATTATTGATATTTTTAATTACTAACACTATTTACCGGAATTATTAATTTTAATAACTAGTAACCTCATTCTAAATCTGTAACTTTTTACATTAATTAAAAAATAAATATGTAATCTATCTTATGCTTTAAAATACTACCTTCATTTAAATTAACTATGCGGTATCGGTACTGCCGATATTTTAATAAGAGTTTCGGTATCGGTGTCGTACCGGCAAAAAGTCTTATCAATGCATATCTACTTTATAAAGCCGACACATCCCACCTGTACAAAACACACAAGTAACAAACTTCGGAAAGTAATGGACGGCAATAATAATGATGATGAGCATGACGGTCGATCGCAACTTTAGACCTACCTGTTTTACATTATAGCCAGCCTTGGCGCTAGTTTCGATGAACATGACGTTGAGCTCCCGAGCCTTGCGGTCGCCGTCCTCGGTGGACACTTGCCGCTTATCTGACAGGTCAGTCTTGTTGCCCACCAGCATGATGATCACGTCGGACCCGCGTTCCGTGCGCACGTCATCGATCCACTTCGAGGTTTGGTGGAACGAGTTCGCATCTGTAAGGAACAGTGATATTGCTATCTTAAGTGTTTTTCAATATAAAGGTTAAGCACAGTATTATAAAAAATTATAGCATTTTTAACAGCTTCGCTGCCAACTGGAATATGGTGACGTCATAGGAAAATCCGTTGTTTTTTTTGTAAAATATGCATGAAGGACGTTTCAATATTGTTATTTTGGAAATATTTAACTATTTTTAGAAGGTTTTGGTAAGAAAATGCTAAATATAAAAAATCCGCGAATTTGCGGATCTGGCACTAAGATTGCATTTTCAACCCCAGTGCCAAGTGCGCAATTTTGCGGAGTAGTTTCTTTTATGTATGATGTTTATTTAAAATTATCTATGGTATTTAAACAAAAGAAAATAGTAGTTTACTTAAATTCTAATACCTTTGGTAACATTTACGTAAGTCTTTCACAGGATAATCTTACAAAAAATAGTATAAAATATTTAAAAAAAACTCAAAGTAACTTACGATTGCAAAAATAGCCGAATTACAGCATTCTAAGTAAAACTAAACACAAAACCTCTAAAAATAATCACAGCTTCCCCAACTCACAAAAAAATAAACTTCTCAATACCTAATTAATAAAATATTCTATATAATGTTTTGTTAGAACTTTATAAAGTCAACTCACAAAATAGCCAGCTGTATGATCGCGGCCTAAATAAAAAATTTTTACTAATAAAACTTCTAATGCTATATAATCATACTGCTGATGGATACAAAAACCAAATTTTTGGTAACTAAATAAAAAAAAACTTAAATTTAGATGGACAAGTGGTATTCATCGAAACATTCATAGCATAGACCAGGTTTGTCTTTACACATTTCGCAATGCCACATAGAGTCTTTACGTTTTTTTTTTGTGTTTTTGTTGTGTTTTGTGTTAAGAAATTCTTTGGAATTTCTCTCAGTAATTTTACTGATTTTGTGCAGCACTTCTCTACTTGTTCTAGGTCTGCTTGAACCAGCAACCACTGAAGTATTGTTTTCGGGTAACAGCTCATTTATCACAGATAAACGGTAATCATAGAGTGTCATTTTCGGTTGGCCAGAATATTTGTTATAAATTTTGTATGAGTTTATGAAAAGAAGTTGAAAGGTATGGATCGCTAACTTCAGATACCAACGTAGTGTTTTTCGTTCACATGGATAAAATGCGAGCAACTGGTCTTGTCTATCAACTCCAGACATAAACACATTATGTTTTGCAATAGCTTCTGGCTTTTCACTGATCTGGCCACGTTTATTGACAACTGGCACCACTCTTTCTTCATATTCTGTGGTGATGTACATTAATGGTCGTTTGTCTTTCCACTTTCCGATGTGTACACTTTCTTGAAAACGTGATATATTTTCACCTTTTTTCAGTGTTTTTTGGTAAACTTCCTTTGGATTTTCCTTCAAATCTTTTCGCCCTTGCGAAAATTAGTAGTTAATGTTATTTATCTAAAGTAATTAATGTTATTTTTAATTACTTACACTATCTCGGGAATTTTTAACTTTAATAACCAATAACCTCATTTTAAATCTGTAATTTTTTACAATAATTCAAAAATAAATATTTAATCCGTCTCATACTTAAAAATACTACCTTCATTTAATCGACTTAAATGTTGTCTAAATACCCAAATACTTTAAAAACTTCATTCACTTTTTGCCCCCTTTAGGAGATGATTTTTTCTTTAGAAAACGCGTAGCGTAACATTCGTATAAAAAAGGAGGAAAATATAGTAGGATCCAGAACTTCCTTTTTTGAAGCCGTTTAAAAATAAAATAAAATTCTCTACATCGATTAACCACCATTGAGTTAAAAAAATCGCTAGCATACCTCCTTAGCTTTCTCTAGGCGCGGCGTCGGAGGTAGGTATAATACGAACTTTTTGCGACTTATCCTACCTTGGCTTTTACAACGCAGCCACCACCCGAGGTCATAGTCATACTAAAATTAAGTACAACTCTGACCTCGCTGTTTTACTAACGGTATCCGCGTAAGCTTGGTAAATGTAACGGGGAACGTTTTATTTGAACCGGCTCCACTCCTTTCAATTTCGAAGTGCGATTTGTAGTTGTTTTTATTTAAATTCATTCATTACAGAGGTTCGCCGTGAGCCGAGATTTCGAGAGCCTGAGCTGTAAATTTCACATTACGCGAGCAACCAGGGTTTGTGATCTCCGCCCGCACCAATTAAATTGTTCATTGCAATTAAGTGGTGATTTACCACGTGCTCGGCGGTGAAGGAGAACATCGTGAGTAATCTTACATGTCTGAGAGTGAAATGCACTAACACGCTTTTGGGGCACAGTGAAGGACACTTCTTTGCGCCAAAACCGTCTCAAAAATTAGAGAGGCTTGAGTGAAACGTATACAATATGTAGTACGAGGGAAGTAGGTATAGGCTGATATGTACATATACGAGAGGAGCTAAATAAGGTTAGCTAGGAGAACTACATTTTTAAATCTGTGAAATAACTTATTAATACCGTCTAAAAAAAGATTTGTCTTGGGCGTCAAAATAGGCCGAAATTGCCGATTTCACTTCATCATCGTCGCCAATTTTTCCCCACGCAGATCTTTCTTCATTTTTGGAAACAAATAATAGACGCTTGGGGCCAGGTCTAGGCTGTAGGGTGGTAACTAGTTGTTCAAAACCGCACCGGTGAATAGCAGCCTGGCTTGTGTGCACGGGCGCATAGTCGTACAAAAGGAGCATGCCTTTTGTAAGCTTTCCTCGCCTTTTTTCTTTAATAGCTTCTTTTAATTGATCTAGTAAAGAAGTGTAGTATTCTCCCTTTATGGAAACACCACGTGCCTTATGGTCAATCAAATCTGTATCCCAAAAGATAGTCATGCCAAGGTGTTGAGGTAGGATGTTTAAAATAGTTGTTTCTGATACTCCAACTAATGCAGCAAGCTGTTTTTTCTTTAGCCGGGCATTTTCCGATACAAGTTTTTCAACTTTTTCGATTATTTCTGGCGTGGTAGCCTCAATCGGCCGTCCAGGTCGGGGTCGTCTTCAAATGAGCCCCTCCCTTGTTTGAAAAGGGCGTGCCATTTATAAATCATGGTTTTGCTCCCAGGAGCGGAGGCCCCATAAACAACTGACATCCCCTGAAAAATGTTTTGAGGTGTCTTTCCTTGTTTGGTGAGAAACATAATGACGGCGCGATATTCAGTTTTCTCCATAGTGACTAGTTTTCTCCCGATGGACTTGTTTACTCGTTGATAACTAAAAAGCTAACTAAAAACCCGATTAGGCTGAAACTTGGTATATATACTAACAATGAGTCACTCAAATAGCGCCTACCTGGATGATTACACTCACCCTCGCCAACCCCGCCATTCCGCGAACTTTTTGACCTCCCCTCGTATAACTTTAATTTACTTTAACTTTACAGAAGTTCGAGTTAAACTCTATATAAATTTCAAACATTATTTTTACGGTTCCCCAAACAAAAAAAATATGTAGCTATAAACTTTTTACTTTAGAGCATAACAAGCTCGAGTACCGCTGAAGTATCCTTAGGTATCGATCCACAGGCTTAAATATTCAGTCTCAAAAGTACGGGAGCAGTCGAACTGGAGTCGTATATAACTCGCATCGCACTCGCCGCCCAGCTGGGATGGCTTTACGAGCAATTAGTGAGACTTTATCGCGTTATCTACACAACTTACAGTAATAAAACTTGTTTGTTTTTAATTAAACTGCGATTTTGCTTAACGGACGGGACGACTTTGATTTAATATAACTTACACAAACCTACACAATACTACAACATTTAGAAATATGTTCGAAGTATTTTTTTTTTTATAGAATAGGTTGACAAACGAGCACACAATCCACCTGATGGTAAGTGGTTGATGTGGCCCATAGACATCTACATCTATCCTCGATTACGAATAAAATGCAAATGCGTTGTCACCCGCGAGGACTAAGGTGGAATGCCTCGTTTCCAGTAAAAAGGGTCTCCGGTTCTCTACACTCACCATACGAAACACAGCAGCATTAAGCTACTATTTTACGATGGTATTCTGTGAGAGCGTGGTCCTTCCCCGGTCGAAACATTTAACACCGTTCAACGGCAAATATAACGCCGTTCAACGGCAAATTTAATGCCGTTCAACGGCGTTGAAATAGAAACGACGTTGACCGTTCAATTGTAGCCACTCATTTTATCGCATTAAATTTAAGGCAATAATTGTTGTGTTTATGGGCATTGACGTTGCTCTTTAGTGCAAGTGCAAGTGCAAGGCCCCCGCCGCCGTTGTTCTGCAAATACATTCGTTTTGCAACTGCTCTTTGAAAACTATAATATTATGACGTCATAATCTTTTGTTTCTCAGATATGCAGGTCTTTCATTCACAGCTGAGCACGCGGTGGTAAATCAGCAATTAAAATTGCAATGAACAATTTCTTTGGTGCCGACCCGCGTTGTTACCACTCGATGTATGTTATACGATATGTCCAAGGTTAGTTAACTGATATTACTTATTTATTTACAGACTCAATACAATATTTACTGTTGTCCCAGATGAATTTCAACCACATCCAATGATTTTATAGAAGTCTGATTTATATATTTAAACGCTCCTTCTTTGAAGTTAGGTGATAAAAAGTTATCCAACTTTTCGCAGGGTAAATTCCAATATCGCACACAGGCGAGGTAGAAAAAGCCGCATTTACAAATATTTGCCGTGCACAAATGTCGAAGCTCGTTTACCAACACAAACAAGGCAAACGTTATTAAGCAAATGTTGGTAAGGTCTGACTAAAGTGAGACTGCAGACAGCCTTAACGAAATACAAGGCCAGAAGCAACATATCAACTTGATAAAATAGTAAATATTTAATTTTGAAAAACATACTTTTTTAGAAAAACAGTTACAGCCTATTAATATAGCCGTTTCAAAGCTGAGAACAGCTTCTCATAAGCTTTCTCAAAATTTTGAGAGGATTTTAGGGCAATAAGTGTCTGCAAGTGCCACGCTGCCCTAATTCGTGTTAGCGGACTTTACATATCTTCAATTTTTTTTTACTTTTTCAGATATGCAGGTTTCCTCACGATCTTTCAAAGTCAAGCACGTGGTGAATCAGTACAGTTGCAATTAACAATTTCTTTGGTGCGTAAAATATATAGCGAGCGCATAGCCCATAGATATTAGCCCCTGAGCTACCACTGTTGTCCGCAGCGCTAGCACAAAGTATAAAATTTAGCTGCTATACTCAATAAATAAACGTTAGGCTCCTAGTCTAGTCATTCTTTGACATTTATAGCAGTATAAAAGTTTTATTTATTTTAGACATTGTAAATATCCGCGTTATTTTATTAGTTCAACGGGATGTGATAATAACATTAATTTTTATATCAGAATGAAGATTCAAAAATACCTCATTATGTAACTATAGACTATATACCGTTTAAATTAATTTTAAAGTAAAGCAAAAAAATCTTTACTGCATTGCGATCTAAATGATTGTATAGTCAAATGTAAAGAAAATATTCCGATAGTCTCAGTGGTAAACGTGAGAAATATGAGTGGAAACGATAATTTCCATGTTTTTATACGGTCGGAAAATGTGACGAGCCGTGCACTCTGTGTTCCCATCGCACACCGCCGCGCCGCCGCCGCCAGTTTCTATTGATGTCGATAGAGGTTTTTTGTAGCTCCATATAAAAACATTTCGTATTTATAAATGTTGTATTCATAAAGTTTATAATATCAATGTGATTATGGTATAAGTAAATACTTATGAAAGATGAGTTGAAGTTACAGCCTATATTACAGCCCACTGCTTGGCGCAGGCTTCCCATCATTTTCTGAGAAGTTTTTAGGGTAAAGAATTATCCGCAAGCTGTCCGCCCCAATGCGTGTCACATGTGTGACATGTCTGTTTGTTTTATTGTGTTTCCTCACGTTTTCTTAAAGTTTCAATTAACAATTTTATCGGTTCCGGCGGGTTCGAACCCAGCTGCTTACGTACTGTGAAATTTACAGCGAGCGTTTAGCCCCTGAGCTACTACAGCTGTCTATCCGCACAATTTCGCAACATAAGTATCGATGATTCGTCCTCCGAAATCCAATACAGATTCGTTCGTACAACGAGACAGTAAAGCATCCATGATGCATGCAAGCAGACACCGCTCTTGTATTAGTATCCAGACTCCACAGGGGCGGTGCTGCAGTAGATTGCCTCACGCTCCGCAGAACTCTGCTCAAACCCTACCCACACATCTAGTTCCAACCACAGAATTAATAATAGTTTAAGGTTTTAACGTAGATTTATCATTCTACGTTTAAATTTCCACAATACATATGGTGTGACCATGTGAAATACACAGAGAATGATGGTTATGTTGTATGTGTAAACTAATTTACTTACGTAGATTATAACACTATTTTATTTTATTTTTTATA